TAATAATTTATTAAACATTAGTTATACAATTATTATAATCATTTTACAATGTTATTTATATTTATATATTTATAGTTAGGAGTATTGTGATAATAAGTTTTTGGGCAAATGGCAAAAAGGCCCATCACATGGGACTTAAATGCATTATAGTCCACACAAAAAACAGTCTCTCAATTAAGCCCATCCCCATGTCTTTAGTCTAAAATACCCTCATTAATATAATTCTTATCAATTCCACCCATTATGCTCTAACTTCTTTAATATTACACATTGACCCCGGATTTAAACAAATATATCATATTAACCCCTAAAATTTTTTTTTTTCAGAAAATAATTTTTTTTCTGAACTGCTTTTTTTCCGGCCAGACTCCGGCCAGATTCCGGCGTTGACCGCCGGAGACCGCCGGTCTCCGGCGTTGACTTTTTTTTTTTTTTTTCTTGATTTTTTTTCCGGCCGGTCAACCACCGTTGACCGCCGGTCTCCGGCGTTGACTTTTTTTTTTTTTTTTTTTTTTTTTTTTTTTGTTGCTGACATGTTTTTTCTTAGAAAAAAAAATATTTTAATTAATATTACTGTCTTGACTACTAAATTACTGTCTCAGACAGTAATATTACTGTTTGGGACAGTAATATTATGAATATTATTTTTCCGAACAGTAATATTATTAATATTATTGTCTAAGACAGTTAAATTACTGTTGGAGACAGTAATTTAACATCCAAGACAGTAATATTAATTAAAATAATTTTTTTTAAGGAAAAAAATTAAAAAAAAAAAAAAAAAAGTCAATTAACTGTTAAGTTACTGTCTCCGACAGTTAAATAACTGCAGGAGACAGTAATTTAGCAACGAATACAGTAATATTAATTAAAAATATATTTTTTAAGAATAAAAAAGTCAATTAACAGTTAAATTACTGTCTCCGACAGTTAAATAACAGCTGGAGACAGTAATTTAGCAACGAATACAGTAATATTAATGAAAAATATTTTTTTTAAGAATAAAAAAGTCAATTTACAGTTAAATTACTGTCTCCGACAGTTAAATAACTGTTGGAGACAGTAATTTAGCAACGAATACAGTAATATTAATTAAAATATTTTTGAAGAAAAAAAAAAAAAAACAGTCAATTAACAGTTAAATTACTGTCTCCGACAGTTAAATAGCTGCCGGAGACAGTAATTTAGCAGCCAAGACAGTAAAATTAATTAAAATATTTTTTGTAAGAAAAAAAAAAAAAAAGTCAATGCCGGAGACCCGGCGGTCAACGGCCGTTGACCGGCCGGAAAAAAATTTCAGGAAAACAAAATTCAAAAAAAAAAAAAAAAAAAAAAAGTCAACGCCGGAGACCCGGCGGTCAACGACCGGCCGGAAAAATTTTTCAGGAAAACAAAATTCAAAAAAAAAAAAAAAAAAAAAAAAAGTCAACGCCGGAGACCGGTGGTCTCCGGCGGTCAACGCCGGAATCTGGCCGGAAAAAAAATATTTCAGAAAAAAAAAATTATTTTCAAAAAAAAAAAGTTTTGGGGGTTAATGTGATATATTTGTTAAAATCCGGGGTCAATGTGTAATATTAAGGAAGTTAGAGCATAATTGGTGGAATTGATAAGAATTAGGGTTAAAATTGGGGTCAAAATTGAAATTAGGGTTAAAATTGGTTAATTGATGAAATTGGGTTAAATTGGGGTGTAAATCATGAAATTGGAGTTAAATTGAGTTTCAATGAATTGGGGGTAATTTTGGTATATATAAAAGGATTTTCCTTATTTGCAAATAAGTTTGAATGGAGTGAATTTATTTGGAAGACAAAAAAGTTGGATGTCCCTATTTTAATTAAGTGCCCTTGTCATGGGCTTTTTTGTGATTACCCCTAAGTTTTTTTGCTTGAGTGGTTAGTACTCTACTTTGGCCACACGGGTTCGAACCTGAAATTGCAGGATTCAATAGACAATAATTACTCCATTAGTAATTTTATTTTTCCTTAGATTCGATTTTTATTTGGATTTTTTACCCTATTAGGGGGTTTTGATTTGCTTTTTGGTTTGCATTTTAAATAAAATATTTTATTTTAAAAAACACTAAAAAGAATTAAAAATAAAATAAAATTTAGTATCTATCACTTCTCTATGAAAGCGGGCGGGTGTTCTGTGTTCATATTTAATAGGGGGATAATTACCAAGAACAACCTCATTTAGGAAAATGAGTTAAGGAAACACCCCCTCCCAAAAATAATTTGAGAAAACCCCTTAGCTAATATCCTATCCAAATATTATTTTAATAATTCCCAAATCACCCTTATTAATATTAAATTTCACCCAACCCATTTTTCGGACCCATTCCCATGGGTCGGTTAAAAAAATTGTTATCCGCCTAAAAATATGGTCAGTAATTGGTCGGTTGGTGGATAAAAACCAAAGTCCCTACCCTAGTCATATTAGGGTGCCCTTATAGGTGGACAAGAAATTGCAGTGAAAAGGTTATCGAAAACATCATTGCAAGGAATCCAAGAATTCAAGAATGAAGTTTATCTTCATTGCCAAACTTGAGCACCGAAATCTCGTGAAGCTTTTAGGATGTTGCGTTGAAGGAGAGGAAACCATGTTAGTTTACGACTACACGCCCAACCAAAACCTTGACTTGGTCTTATTCCGTAAATAACTACTATTTCTTACTTGATCAATTTAACTACTAGTACTCGATCTCGACAAACACATATAACAAGATAAAACTTCTTGACATATGATATAAAGGGTGAGCTCCTCAATTGGCCCAAGCGGTTGCATATCATTTGTGGTCTCGTTTATCTTCATCAAGATTCTCGTCTCAGAATTATTATCGAGTTGACTCAGCCTAAAGAGCCTAGTTTTTTCGTTCACTTTGCCTTGTGATATGTCTTCGACTAGCGGAAATGCAAGTTCGGGATATCAGATCACCATTACATTGCCAATAGGTAGGTAGGTGTGTAATTGATTTCCGGTGTTGATTTTTTTTTCCTGGACACCGGCTTTGACCATTGTTGACTCCGTATTAACACAATAATATAGTCAATATTACTGTCATAAACAGTAAAATAACAATATTACTGGTAGGCAGCAAAATAGTAATATTACTACTTTATCAAGTAGAACAATGTTATTGCGTTACACAGTAGAAACAGTAAATTACTGCCAGATACAGTAATATAGTTAATATTACTGTCATAAACTGCAATATAGTAATATTACTCAGGCAGACAGTAAAATTGTGAATATTACTGTTAGAGACAATAATATTACTATATTACACTGTCAAATACAACAATATTATCGTGCTACACTGTTATAAAACAATAAAACCACTGTCGAATACAATAATATAGTTAATTTTAATGTCAAAAACAGTAAAATAGTAATATTAATACGGTAGAGTAAAATAGTGAATATTATTGTATTACATTGGCATACACAACAATATTAATGTTTACACTGTCAGAAACGTTACTATTATTGTGTTAGACATCAAAATAGTTAATTTTACTGTTACGCACAATGATATAATCGTGTTAGACATCAATTTTGTAACTAAAATTTTACTGTAGGCTAAGGGTATCAATCCAACCAATTTTTAACCGTCAGATCAGTACAACCAAACCTTAACCAATCAAAACGGTTCCCGGTTGAACCAGAAAACACTGCTTCATCTCGCAACAGAAGTATACCGACAACAAGATCTTTATAAGTAGTGTTCTCAAATAAACCTTACATGTTAGAAGAAAACGTTGTTTGAATAATATCTCACAACATATTTTATACATAGAAAATGAATCATGTGTACACGTATAAATAATCTTTTTCACTAACACAGCGGCATTAGGCGGTGGTCGGTCAAATTAATTAAGCTTCGATTTTGCCGCTAACAACATCCACAGCCTCCTCAATAGCTTCGGTTTTGCCGCTGACAACATCCACAGCCTCCTCAATGGCTTGCATGAATGTGGCAATCTTGTATGTGAAGAACCCCACAAGCATCGGAATCAAGTCCAGGTGCATCAATCCATATTCTGGAACTAAAATCCTGCCAATTCAAAAAAAGAAAAATCGAGCAAAATTATATAATTCTGATCACGATTTGGCATCAAATTTTTGTTCGAAAACGAAAGTGGATTTTTATTATTTACCCATTCCATCGATTATACAACATCACCAACATAACAGGGACCAATAGCCTTGGCTGCCCAATTGCACCCCTGCAAATCACAAGTTTCGATGAACCGATTAAATGGAGTCGAACAAACTTAATATATTCACATTATAGGTAAACATTTTTTAATCCTAAATAAGAAAAGGGAGAAAATACTTGATAATCCCTCTTGCTCCATCTGCCATGGAATCGATACTGTTCCCAAGCATCCGCATGTATGCCAAAGAACCGGCCAATCCAGCACAATAGCTGAATTCATTCATTAAAAGAAAAAGAACGTACAGTTAATACGAAAGATAATATCTATAGGCCCCGTTTGGTTGACAAGATAAGCCAAGATTAACTAAATAATCGGACTTAATTTGATGTTTGGTATCCCCAATAAACTGCCGGGTCGACCCGCCAAAATTATGTAATCATGGCTTATCTTGCCTTCTAATGAGTTTTTTTTGTTGGACGTTGCAAGCTCCAATAAAATAATTGGGTTTCATTAGATTATTTAATCTTATCTTGGCTAATCTTATCTTGCCAACCAAACGGGCCATAGTATATCGATTATCTATGATCTCACTACATGAAAATGAACCTTGTTATAAAACACGAAAATATAAACAATCCGAAACACATAATATAAACACAAGAAGTTTTGGTACCTCAATGTAATTTCCGTAGAATACGTAAAATAGGCTGAGACAACTCCAACGCCACCGATTATCACTGTGAGTGCTTGCAATTTATTCTTCAACTGAAGAAGAAGAAAGAACGTTATTTCCGAAAAAGAGAAAATCGAGAAATCAAGAAAATATAAAAGCGCATTATCCGATTACCTTATAATACTGTTCCCTCGATTCAGCAGCCAAAACTACAGGATCCCCTCTGGGGCGTCTTGCTTCCCTAAACATGACATCCTTTATCCCCGAAAAAAAAGATTAAATTAAAGAAAATAAACATTTACGCATTTACGTAAGAAATGAGATTATTAACATACACTGCCTCCAGTTGCAGCCTTGGCAGCTCTATCCCATTTATCTAGCTCACGACGCGTCGGAGCTGGTCTCCATTTTATACCACCGCTCTTAATAGTCTAAAATATATCATTTACGAGTGTGTGAGGATAACGAAATTTAAATTTAAATTTGAGGTTCTAAAAATTTAAATTGTACTTGTTCTTCGATTAGAGGTTCAGCTGCCGATTCCGGGGCTCGTGTAAGCTGTTTACTCAAGTCAACTTCCATACTGCATAGTCAAAGAGCGGAACAACCGTTATATAATCTAACGGTAGAGCAGTTGGCCTCGTTTAAATCAAGAGATGCAAACCAGAGTTTACATACTTGTCTAGGCTCATCACTCTATTCAAGCTAAGAAATCCAGAAGGCTTCTCCTATTAAGAATTAAAAAAAAAAATCCAAATAAACGTCAAATAGGATCAAATACAAACCCATGAAAAAGTTGTTTTTACTGATTCATTATTAAAATGGGCAAATTACGACCACCCCTGAGGTAAGATCAAATTACAAAAAAGACCCCTCCTGTTTGGGTAATTACAACCATGCATCAACTATGTATTGTCTTACACGTCCACCTTATGGTGTCAAATTTACCTATTGAAGGAGAGGGGTTTTCGTAATACAATACATAGTTGAGGGTAGTTGTAATTACCCAAACAAAAGTGGTTTTTTCTTAATTGATCTTCCCTCAGGGGCACGTCCACCCTTTGCCAGGGTGGACTCAAGCCCACCCTGAATTAAAAATTATACCATTAAACTATATATATAATTGTATTTAGCGCACCTCAATTTTATTAATTAGCCCACCCAAAATCAAAATTAATGCAAAAATAAACATCTAAAAAAATTCCAATGTTCTTTTTTTCTTTACCTATTTTATGATTTTGTCTTATTTAATGCAAATAGATGCCCTAAATTTTTTTCGAGGGCGCTGCCCCCGAACCCCCTTAAAATTAAGCCCTAGAACAAATTCCTGGACTCTGCCACTGTTCAGGGGTGACCATCACAAAACAACATTACAATCAAGTTAAAAATTCGAAAAAAAAAGAGATAGTCACAGAAAAATCACTAACAAGAGAAGATAAGCTTGATTCAGAACCCAAATTGAATGTCAAAACCCTAATCAACGCAAAATTTTCAAGGTAAATTTCCCAAATTCGGAAATTTCACTCATTTTCAATAAATTGAATTTTACAACAACAACAAAAAAAAAAAAAAAAAAATTGAAAGAGAATATGAAGGTAGTTGATTGAAGAAAACGAACCTTGGCAGATGCAGAGCGAAGTTCTTCGGCGTTCTTCTCATCGGGGTCTTGGATGAGCTTTTTCATGCGGTCCATGAAATCTTTGTTCCACATGTAGTCGTCGGTGGCGAGAGGGTCCTTATCACCGCCCCAGTATTTTCGGAGCTTGGTGGTGGTGGGTGGGCCGCCGTAATCACCTGGAGCAACGCCGGTGGACCATTTCAATGGCTTCTTGTCCGGCAGTATGATCTTCGTCGGTAGCCTTGGCTGCGATGGTGGTGGATTTGGGGATTCCTGTGAAGAAGGAACGGAAGCGGAGGTCACTGTGAGGCAGCAATTCACTGCTGCCATTGATTCTCTCTGCGTGTGTGTGGATGGAGAAATGAAAATATCACAAGAGGATTGTGAATTCTGATTTTTGGCCTACAAATAATATGATTTTAACTTCATTATATTAAATATGTATTTAATAATAATATATTTTTTTAAATTTGAAAAAAAAATTGCCATACATGTATATGTACTTTCAAATTACAAAATTACATAAAATAAATAAGATTTATATATTTCCACCTCCAAATATCTCAATTCAAAATTAAGTTTATTTAAAATATCAAAAATGCCATTAAAATTTCTAATTCACCACCCCATGCTTATTTCCTCTTCTTTTTTGAATGTAACTTGTGTTGATGCAACAAAACAATTTCAAATAGTAAAACAAGATTCTAATAATCGTCAAATCTGAATCAATGTTTGGGCCGATTGTACTGAATGAAATGTAATCCATTTTTCAAATTTTAATCCACCGAAAACCGCAGTATAAAAAATCTCGATTGTTTTTTTCTTTTTTAATTGTTTATACGCAAGCAGTCTTAATTTAATTTATTTTCTTCAAGAACGTGAATTTTTGCTCCTTGTGACCTTTCGGTATTTCTCTCCGACAAAGGTGAGATTTTGAGATGATGAGATTTTGTGTGAAGATTCTACTGAAAGATGGTGATTTTTTTTATTTTTTTTTTTGTGAATATTTAATTAGTTTGGTGGTGAACGATTTTTAAATTTGTACAAAATATGTGTGAAAGATGAACAAAGGGTAAAATAGGAAATATATTTAATTTGGTGGTAAAATACGATATTTTAAAGGTGAAAATAGGACGTCTCTATATATATTATATTTCAAAATTATACGGTGTTCATTGTGCTCCCTATTGCAACGAATCACATGTGTTTAAGATACAAATTTTTTAAAACAATTTATTATGTACTCTAACAATAAATATTTCAAAATCTTCAAGACCGCAAGTGCCCGTCTCTCACGGTTCGATCCACGGTCCGGCTAGTTCACAGTTCGACCCGGCCAAAACGTTACCATCTCTACTCATAAGGATTTCTAGCTACTATAGTAATAGATAAAAGTCTAATAAAAAACGTGAAGGTAAATACAATTTGCAACCACCTAGTCGGATTTAAGTAAATGCAAAAAATATTTTTGAATAATTTTTATATATTAAGTATATATATATACTTATTTGAAAAAAATATTTTGAGAGGTAATTTGAAGTCCTCTTGTCGCGCAAATTGCACAATTTGCAGCAACTCGGAATTATTAAGATTTAAGATTTAAAACTATAAATAATAATTTTTCATGAGTGACTAATTTTATGTAGAGAGATTATTCCAAGATCAAGGATATTTACTACTACCCTTACTTTATGTATTATGTACATCTTTTATTTTTTATCAATATACATATACAGTTAAACATTTATAAATTAATACAATCGGACCAGCTAAATTCTATTAATTTAACAAAATATTAATTTAACGAAATATTTTTTAGCACGTTGCCTTTGTGTCGATACCAAAAAAACATATTCTTTAAATGAGGTTATTAACTTATCGAGGTTCTACTGCATATATTATATATATATATATATATATCTCGAGGCATATTGTTTTTTCTAAGCATAAAACTTTAGCTTGAGGTTGTTCCCTCCAAAAAACCCCATTTCCCCTTACCCCAAAAATTAAATTTAGAAATGCAAAAAGACTAAATATGTATTTATTGAATTAAAATATTAATAAAAAAATAGAAAAAAATAAATAATTCAAAAGTGTATTTTCTTCGGTTAGCACTTACCGGTGTCAAGGCCTAAAGCCGGTCATCCAATATTCAAAGCCCAAATAATACACACACACACACACACACCCATTTCTTTGAAAACACCACCGCCACCTCCCCCACCGCCGCCGCACACCACCGACATGTCCTCTCAACCCACCCCCTCCCCTCCTCCTTCCTCAACCACCGACCCCCAAATCTCCGACGACGACGACAGACTTGCTCCTCCTTCTCCCGGTAAACGCGAGGTCTCGTCGGAACCCCCGCCGACGGCGACCCGAACCACCCCGGTTTTCCCGAGCCGGGAGGACTGCTGGTCCGAGGAAGCAACCCGGACTCTGATTGATGCGTGGGGGGCCCACTACCTTGACCTCAACCGTGGCAACCTCCGCCAGAAGCACTGGCAGGCTGTCGCCGACGCCGTCAACGCCCTCCACGGCGCCTCATTCAAGCTCCGCCGCACCGACATCCAGTGCAAAAATCGCATTGACACCACCAAGAAGAAGTACAAGATCGAGAAGTCCAAGGTCTCCCAATCCAACGGCCGCTACGTCTCCACGTGGCCCCACTTCCAAAGCCTAGACTCCCTCATCGGCGACTCTTTCTCCAAGACCACCGCCACCACCTCCCACACCAGAAACCTCCGCCGCAGGGTTTCCCCTTCGCCGGAGTTCTCCCCTTCCCCATCGGAGCCGCCGATCCATCGCCGGAAAAATTCTCCGGCGAGACGCGACCACCCCGAAAAAGATCCAGCCCCGAGCCAAACGCTGCGCATCCCATGGTCGGTGCCGGTGGGGCCCAGGTCGAAGCGGACTGGCCCCGGCAGCGTGACCGAAAGGAATTTCTCAGTAATGGCGGCCGCTGCGGCGGCGATGGAGGCTGAAGAATTGTACGAGAAAGAAGAAGAAGATGAAGAAGAAGATGATTACAACAATGAGTTGGATGATTACGAAGAATGTGGGCGGCGGCGGCGGCAGCCGCTCTTGCCGGAGGTGGGAATGAAAAGGAAAAGGAAGGAAGCGGTGGAAGACGAGGCGGCGGTGGCAGAAGACGGGTACAGAAGTTTGGCGGAGGCGATAGCGAGGCTAGGAGAGATATACAAGAAAGTGGAAGAGGCGAAGCAGCGGCAGATGGTGGAGATGGAGAAGCAGAGAATGCAGTTCGCCAAAGATTTGGAGATTCAGAGAATGAAGGTCTTTATGGAATCGCAGGTCCACCTCGAGAAGCTAAAACGCAACTCGAAGCACAACTCTCAAAGTAGTAAGTTTACGAAAAATCTCCTCCTCGTTGATATATTATTATGCGCATTGCATTATTACATCGTTGTTGATATGAATTCGTAATGAGGAATCGTACTCCTTGTGACCTCGTTTGAGTTCAATGGTTAAATCGGAATCAAATCAACGATAACTCGATAAGTGAATATGCCCATCGGAATCGGGGTTTTTTTATCCCGGATCCTTTTACGGTTGCCAATGTAAATAATGACTTTTGCACTTTCGGACTAGTTATGCTAACTAATGTCTTTCTCCGTTAGTACGAAGACGGGATTTTTTTGTAAGACGTACCGTGACATACTTTTGAAGGCAAATTCTTTCGACTTTTTTATTACTTTTTTTAATTTTTTATTTAATACAAATCTTTATATGTGTTTGAACAGTTTGAGATGGTTGTCTAATCTAGGATTGAAATAATATTTGCGGGTTGCTGATTACTGATTTACGGAGTTTTCTGTTTTGAAATATTTGAATTTTTATCGGATACTTTACTTTATATCTAGATCGACATTCATTTACATATCTGCGTATATGATTGCTAAACATTAAAAGATCGTTTTAAAAGTATAAAGTGTAGCATCCTCTTCGATGGATATACAATTAAAGGCTGATAAAATTGCATATATTTTTGATATAGTTGCATCGTAATATCAGTCTTCTGCATTTGAAGGTCGTACTTTATTTCCGACATTTTCAACTGATGTATGGTTGTTATCTGATTTTTATGTTCGATATACGACCAGTTTTCGATGATTTTGTTTTTTTTTTTTTGTGAAACAACTGGCACGCTACCTCAGTTAAATAGTTGTCTGTTGAAATTGCTCGTTTATGCTGTTTTGTCGAAAAAAGAGACGCCTGAAAAACCGATCTAAGTTTTATAGATCTTATCCGTGAAATTTTTCGTGTTTCCAGTCGGTTCTCTTGATAAATAAAACAAATTTATCATATTAGCATTCTCTGCTCTGTTTCAGTGGAATTAACTGAATAATATTCGACTACTATCTCGTTTTTCCCCTACACACAATTCTTGTTTACGTGTGGCAATGCATGGTATAGAACATACGAAAAATAAATGTAACGGCAGAAATGTGTGATAATTGAAGTAATTCTTTAGACAAAATTGCAACTTGCATAAACACTAAACTAGAGTTTCATCGAGTGAAATTGTTGAATGAGGTCGAATTTGTACGTTTTGATTTTAGCTGCACAGACAGACGAACAAATTGTTGAACTAGACTGTCGATAGTGAATAACATTACATTAGTGCATAGTCATCTGAGGCTTTCTGATGTTGTTTATGATTCTCGTGTAGTGGATATTGTCTGAAATGACGTTTTTGCCCTTGTTAAAGATCGATCTAACAAGACCTGATTTAGCTTTACAAAACTATGTTTGCCCTTTGCTGACATGTCACAAGCTCGCTATTACAATTTTCAGATTTTCTTTATTTCTTAAAAGTTTGGTTGTTTCGTTAAGGAATAGTTAAACCCTTAACTTACATATACTATTATTTCTCTACAGAATTTGTTATAATTCGAAACGAAGTATGTAACTATTATTCCGTTTTCCACGTGCAGGTTACTTGTAGACGGGGCCGCAACATTTGTCAAGCGTGTTCGTTCGTCTGATCATCTTTTGGAAATATCAGTAATAGATTTCAGTTAGTTCTGCATATGCGTGCGTACGTACAGGGTGTCTCTAATTAGATATAGTACCGTAGATAAAGCTTTCTAAGTTCTACCTTTTGGGTTCGTCAAAGTTCCGTTTGTCTAGGGATGGGTATATTCCGTTAAGTGGTTCTTTTGATGAGTATATTCCGTTAAGTGGTTCTTTTGATTAAATCTCTATGACATGACAGATCGTTTAACAGAAGTTATAAATTTTCGTGAGTTCATTCATACTCGTCATTTTTCGTTCTCTTTGTATTTCTTCGTTTCAGCTTAAACTTACTGCACTTTACTACTAAGATACAGTTCAGAAATTAACTTTGAGCTTATTTAGAAGAGCAGAGCATTCTTTCATTACTTGATAATCAGAAATTGAATTTGTTGTTTATGTACATATGATGTATTATTTAATTATGGGATAGTTACACTTTTAGTTCCTACTAGTAATTTGCCCCGTGCGTTGCACGGCCGCGTATTGAAAATAAAAATAAAAATACACATAAATAAATGATAATGAAAAAAGTAATATAAACAAAATTGATAAATAAATGATAATGAAAAAAGTAATATAAACAAAATTGATAAATGCCATGTTCAAAATCAACACAATAGAAAAACCAAAGTGAAAAAAATCCACTAATTGCTATCATAATGTATATATCAAGTTTAGAACTTGAATCTAATTTGCCCTGTGCGTCGCACGGTCGCGTATTGAAAATAAAATAAAAATACACATAATAAATGATAATGAAAAAAATAATATAAACAAAATTGATAAATGTCATGTTCAAAATCAACACAATAGAAAAACCAAAGTATAAAAATTCCACTAATTGCCATCATAAATGTATATATCAAGTTTAGAACTTGAATCTAATTTACATATATCTATATACTCGGGGGAAAAAGAGAGAAATCAACATACTAATATTTGTGGCGTTGCACTTTTAACAACATACGTCGATGCTAAAAAAATGTAACATGTAATATATATGGAGTAGTGTTTTGAATAAAATTAGGAAGATAAAATAAACATATATTAAATGTAAATATCGCATAAACAAAGCAGTGAATACATTCAAAAAAATAATGGATTTTGGACATAACAAATTTATAAGTAATTTTTTATCGGAAATGATAGTAAAAAAGTAAAATAAATTGAATAGTGATATGAAGAATCATTCATCCAATTTTAAGTGGCTTTGGGTAATGCAACACAACTACGTACAATATTCAATTTTACATATTTCACTAACAAAAACAATATGTTTATAAAATATATATTCTATTGTTTTTTATTTACTAAAATATATGAATATTTACTTGCACCTTATAAAAGTACTCATTTAACATAAATTAGAAATAACTGAAAACATAACCAATAAAAAGTTCTAATTAAACAAAAAATCTTACATCTAGCAATTCCCATGCAAAATGTATTTGTATGTGAAATGAACCCACTCGGACTATGTTTATATGTTAAAGAAGTTTAAATTGATCACATTCGCTTCAATGATATTACAAATTTAAAATTATCAAAAAAAAAAAAAAAAGAAAGAAAGAAAAAGATGCTACAAAGTTATAATATTACCCAATGTCTATTTTTTTTTATCTATCCAGTATTAAATCACAAATGAAGTGCTAATTTGTAAAGAAAAAAATACTACAAAGTTAATATATTCATGCTCTAAAGAGATCGAGATACATCAAACCAGTCGAGTTTGCAAAAGAAGAGATACGCTAATTTGTAAAGAAAGAAGATGCATTCTTCTGTTTCTGCTTAATGTAAGCAAAACAAATATTCCAATAATACAATCACAAAATCAACAAAACAACAAAGAAGATAAATTCATAGGTACATTTTTACCTCATAGTTACAATACGCAATTAGAAGCTTGTATAACTGAATTATAAAGACGTATAACTGTAAGATTTTACTTGTAATAGCAGTGTCTGTAAAACGCCGAGCATTCAAAATTGAGGGACTTAAGAGATGATAAGGCAAACAATTTTTTCAATCCACCACAAGTAACCACTTTTTCCTCATTCTCTCCATTTCTATCAATCAAATATTTACTTTCTTGTTGCAAGGCTTTATTGTCAATCAAATCCGTTTTTGGTAAAAAAAAAAAACCAAATATGTCAAAGCAGATCTCAAGAAAGAAGATTAAAAAAAATACCAATAACCAAACCAATATAAAGAACATCAACGATATAGCATAAAGGAACCAAAAGAAAAAAAAACATTGGTAAACAAATTTATGGGTAACATGTATGTATAGGAAAATTTATGGGCTTGAGATGGAGAAAGTGGGGCAGTTAAGAAAAGAAGTTGAAGATTACGTTGAGTGGAAAACCCGAAAAAAAAGAAGAAACAAAAAAAATCACAGTTGATCGTGATTAGTGGGGAAGGAAAAAAAGAAAGAAGAAAAAAAGCAAAAAAAAATACTAATTATATATAAAAAAAAAGAAACGCGCAATAAAAAATATTTCAATGTAGATCGTGTGATGGGAAAAAAATATAATTAATTATATATATAAAAAAAATGTGCAATAAAAAAATATTTGAAAGTAGATCGTGGGATGGAAAAAAAGAAGCAGGAAAATAATATAATTAATCTTTATAAAAAAATGTGCAATAAAAAATATTTCAAAGTAGATCGTGGGATAGAAAAAAAGAAGCAGTAAAAAAATATAATTAATTATATAAAAAAAGTAAAAAAACGTGCTATAAAAAAATTTCTAAGTAGATCGTGGGATATGAAAAAAAAGAAGCAGGAAAAAACATAATTAATTATATAAAAAAGAAAAAAAGAAACGTGCAATAAAAAAATTTCTAAGTAGATCGTGTAATGGGCAAAAAAGAAGCAAGAAAAATAATAATTAAAAAAAAAAAAAACAAACAACGAGGAGAAAAGAAAGGAGAAAATAAAGTGATTTAAAAAAAAAAAAAAAAAAAACTGTTTTTTAAGGTTGAAAATCTTTCTTTTTTATATAAATATACTATACATCGAAATTAATTTTAGTCCCTGGATTTTTTTTCCCGTGATTTTGAGTCCTCAAACTATTTTTTGTCAACCAAAAGTGTTACCATAATAACTGGGTTTTCCGTTCAAAACTTTCCTTATTAATTGGTCTATTAATTCAAAAATTTCACGTTACAAATAAGCCCATCATGGATACTTATTCATGAAAGAGTCCACACAGAAAAACTCATTTACAAAAAAGTCCAGATATTATCCACAGGTATGTAAAAGATCAAAATTCCCCTTACATTTTAGGGCAAATTACCAAAACCCCCATGAGGTAAGCCTAAATAACGAAAATCCCCCCACGTTCTTGTAATTACGAAAACCCCCCTTGACTAACGGTTGACCGAATTTTTTTAACCGAAAACGTGAAATGTCTATTATATCCTTCCGTTAAATATGTGAAAATAAAATAAAAAAGCTGAAAAAGAAATTATTTTGAGGGTGGAGATTTTGCTGAGCTCCGTCGGGAGTTTTCCGGTGAGTTGCTTCTTGAAGAGGAAGAGCGATTCGAGTTTCGTGAGGTTGCTGAGTTGTTTAGGGATTTGGCCGGAGATATTTGCGTCGGAAATCTCAGATTCCCCAGCTCCGTCGGAAATCTCAGATTTGAACGAGCAACACTTCAAAAATTGAATCGTCGAAATCGAAACTAAGAACAACACTTCAAAAATTGCATCTCAAACACACAAACATGAAACAACAATGCAAACAGATAAAAATCATAAAGGCTCAACAGTGATAAAATCGCATCGAAAAACCCACACGAACACATAAAAATCGACACACGAAAATAGGTAAATTAATTAATTAATAAATAAAATTCATACAGCTTCGGTTTCAGCTTGGGAGACGATCCGAACTCCATCCCTGTTAACCAAGAGATCACCATCCTTAAATGTACCCGAACCAGTCCTGCACACACACACACACAATTAAAGATCCAAATCACAATTTAAAAGAAAAAAAAAAAAAGGAATTACAGGAATTTAGAGATGTCGTCGGGTGGAGGGAGAGAGAGCTTGAGGTTAGGTGCTAAGGAACCTTTCTTCATTTTCACTTTCTTCTCGGATTCTGTACTGTTTGTTAGACTGCACCGAATCCCGGTCCAAGAATTGGTATTACAATTACCCCCTAAGGGTAATTTCGTGAGCAAGGGCAAAATTGGTATTATCGGAGGAATATTCGGGAGAATAAAAAAGATTCTATCAAGTTTAACACCATTAGAGCGATTTGTAAGATGTCTGCATACCTCAGGGAGTTTTTCGTAATTACGAGAACGTGGGGGGGATTTTCGTTATTTAGGCTTACCTCAGGGGGGTTTTGGTAAATTGCCCTACATTTTAATAAGCTTCAATTTCATCATTTAATTCAATTTAGGGTCTATTAGTGAAAACCCCCTCTATCATTTTTTTTAGGGTAAATTACAAACACCCTCTCTGAGGTATGGTTAAATTAGAAATACACCCCTCTTGTTTGGATAATTACAACCACCCCTCAACTCCTCAAATTTAGTGGAATCTTCGAGATTATATGGAATATTATCACTTTTGTACCCGTTTTATCCCATTCAAACTCTACATTATGAAGCAAGATGATCATAATATGTGATTTTTATCTTGTATATATCAGTTTGTGGTGCAACAGAAACTGTATTTTTACAGAAATCGAGTACAAACTAGAGCACATTTCACGGAATCTAGATGATTATGTTGAATTTGGCACCATAAGGGTGGATGTGTAAGAAAAAATCATAGTTGAGGGGAGGAGATGTAATTATCCAACCAAGAGGGTTTTTTTGTAATTTGACCATACTTCAGGGGGGTGTTTGTAATTTACCATTTTTCTTTTAATAAGGATGGGTCCAACCTCTTTTCACTTATTAGTGATAGACCCATCACTTCCTTTATTTCCAAATTTACCCTCTCTCTATCCACCACCCATTACCCACCATTTTAGTATTTTTCTTTTTGGTTTATTTATTTAAAAATATTAAAAAATAATAAAAAATATATTTTTTTAAAGGAAAAAAATATCTAAAAATAAAGGGCATTTTACAAATAAGTCCATCAATGGGTACTTATTCATAAAGGGGTCCAAAGAATAAGTCTCTTACAAAAAAGTCCACACATGGTCCAGAGGTTTGTAAAAGACTAAAATAGCCCCTCACATTTTAAGATGCTCCAATTTCATATTTAATTTAATATAACCTCAATTT